AGTAAGTAAGTAAGTAAGTAAGTAAGTAAGTAAGTAAGTAAGTAAGTAAGTAAGTAAGTAACTGGTGCATTTATAATTTCCAGCAAAGACTTAAGAGTCAAGAAACAAGTCTTTTCCTCCTTTCCTGACAAAGTTGTACAAATCAAGAAATAAATGGGGGGAAACAAATTAAATGAAAGGTTAAAACAAAAGTTACAATAATATAGGATGTAAAAAGTCATTTAACAAAGTTATTTTTCTTACAACTTCTGATAGCCTTTGAATAAAAGAGGATTTATTTWTCTTTTACAACTCAAACATCATCACTAGCTACGTTTACATGCACAAAATCCTTTGATCGGATTGAAATGTATTTGGATCAAATAATCGGAATGTATCGTTGCATGGACACAATCCGATCATGACGAGTGTTTACATGCACCGGGCTTTTATTCAGAATAGAAGCACGGACATGCGCAGTTGCTAACTTTCACCAAAAAAAAAGTTTTACTTTCGTCATGCACATAAACAAACATCTTCTGAGCTCAGAATGGACCTGCGACAGGTTTTAATAATGGTGGAGATGTTACTGCACTCTGGTTCAGCTGCAGGTGACGCAGATTATTATTATTATTTTTTTGCGAAGCAGTGCAGGCTGTGTGTCTTCTTTACTGAATGAGAAAATGGGAGGAAAAGTTCTGTGCTGCTGTCCCTCCCTCCACAAAAGAGCAGAAACTGCTGGATGAAAGTCAGCAGACGTGCACAGTCAGGTCAGTTTTCCACAACCAGAATAAAATGATCGGATTAAGTGTTTACACGCACGCTGTTTGGATTATTAATGGGCATTAATCACCTCTCTCATTCAGATTACAAATTCATTTGTATCGGGCYGGATCAGGTCAGAATAATCCGAATGGGGTATTTACATGACGCATTTTTATTCTGAATGGCCATTTAATCTGATTATGTCCATGTAAATGTAGCTACTGTGTGCTAAGCTATGGACTGAACTCAAACTCTGAGTCATAACTTCTGCAGCATTACAGCACAGTACAGGGCTTAAATTACTGCTCTCAGGCAAAAACTTGTCCAAAATAAGCAACAAGTATTTTAAACAACATGAAAATAACCCCAGTGATGGAAGTGTTGGAAGACATTGTTATAAAGGCTAAAACCTCTTGCAACAGATTATGATTTGCTCATTAGGAGAATACATGGTTTCCTATTCCTGTTATTACATTTGTACTGGGATGTTCCCACTTTAATTCACTGTTCTTGCAGTTCATGGCTCTCACCGAACAGACCGATGTAGACCTCCTGCAGTGAGTGAACGCTGCAGAACTGGTTGAGTTCATGGTGCACTTTGTTGAAAATCAAAGCTTTGTCATAATCTGCTGTGAAGTTCCTCACTATGTCGTACACTGCAGAGGAAAGCAAGTGCTTGGATTACAGCAGGATAGTGTATTTAATCTGACAACATTCCAGCAGAAGAATCATGGTCTGGTACCTGCTGATGGAATGAGGTAGTTCACCACTTCTATACGGTCAAAGTAAATCATCACTCCTCCACTGAAATAAAAAAAWAATAATATAACATCAGTGTATAATTGCATAGTGTGTGGGTCTGTGTGGAGTTAGAGCTAAATGTAGTAATTCCAAGTCGATATGTGGTTTAATAGTAAAAAAGCAAACCCACCTTGTACCACAGGGTACATTCTTTACCTCATCCGTCTGCAACGTCGTCTAAAAGAGAAGTTGAAAGTGTTATTTCTGATTTTCTACAGCTTTCTGAAATCACTGCAAAACAGAAATGCAGTACAGGAAAGTGAGGCTGAGAATAAATCCACCAGGACTGTATAAAATCAGGGTATTTGGTAAATCAAACTGATGAAAATGAGTTTTAAACTAAATAAACAGCAGTAATATGACTTGTTCAGTTTCAGAACACACACCGCAAAAACCACTAAACTCTGTGTCAACACATAATCCACAACCTTCCCAGAAGGAGCAGAAAATATGGAGCYGTCACACGGGAACTAAGATCTACCCTAAATGTTTACATGGGWGTGCTAAAAGCTGAAAAGCTTTTCATTTTCATTCCAAGAGGAGAACTGCTGTCTCATCTTCAGCAGACCACAATGCTCATTTCTGTAAGGCTTTTTTTTCCTTCTGCCTTTTTCTGGAAAATGTGTAGCTAACCTTTAAAAAGGATCTGGCTGGACTTGTACATTTTTCATTACATCACACCGCCAACTCCAAATAGCCATTGGAATAATTACCACCTGTATAATGCAATACAACCTAATCGTGGAAAAGTAAAGAGAACTAACGGAAAAATACAGTATATACAGAATAAAGAAAAAGGTACTCCCCTTCCAACATCTGCTTCTAAAATAGCATCAAACTCCTAGACTTGCAGAAAGTCAGGGATTTTGTAAGAATGTACAGTAGGATAAGATTAAAAGTAGAACTGCACATTATATTGTTTAAGCTTTGTGCGCTAGCCACATTGCATGTCTTGGAATGTAGAAGGCAAATTAAATCAACATGTTATAGGGACTAAAACATAATTCACTGCAATAAACAGTCATGTGTTACATTCTTTGTTCTGACAGGTTTGAAGGAAATTAAATCCAGTCATATTTTATACTCTCTGATCAGTGCAACCACATGGTTTAAACAGAGAATGAGAGAATGTGTTTTCATATGAGACCTTTCTGTCTGCATAAACAAAAGTTAGCTACTTTCTATTGTCTGACATAAAGGTACCACCTTCAGGGGTGTGAGCAGGAAGTCAGACACAGTGGAAGAAAGAAGTATTTGATCTCTTGCTGATTTTGAAAGTTTGTCCATTTACAAAGACATGAACAGTCTATAGTTTTAAGAGTAAGTTCATTTTAACAGTGAGGGAAAAAAGAAATCAGAAAATCACATTGTACAAATTATATAAATTTATTTGCATTTTGCAGAGAGAAATAAGTATCGGATCCCTCTGGCAAACAACTTAAAACTTGTTGGCAAGCACAGCAGTCAGGCATTTTTTGTGGTTGATGATGAGGTTTGCACACATCAGGAGGAATGATGGTCCACTCCTCTTTGCACATCATCTCTAAATCATTAAGATTTTGAAGCTGTCACTTGGCAACTCAGAGTTGTAGCTCCCTCTACAGGTTTTTGATGGGATTAAGGTCTGGAGACAGGCTAGGCCACTCCATGACCTCAATGTGCTTCTTTTTGAGCCTCTCCTTTGTTGTTGTATGTTTTGGGACAATGTCATGCTGGAAGACTCAACCTGGCAGAGGGGAGGAGGTTGTCACTCAGGATTTTACGGTACATGGCTCACTGGTCACTGTAAGTCAACAGACATGTCTCCCCTTGCTTGCTTCACTCTCTGTTCCTGTCCAGCTAACTTTAGCAGCCACCTGCACGGCTTGTCTCTCTCTCTCAGCTGGTCCTTCTGCAGGTTTATCTTCTCTGACAGCTCCTTTTAAAGAGCCAATATTATGTGTTTCTCAGGCATACATTTAAATACTATACCATAATAAAGTATCTATGTCACCTTTAGCTGTTATTAAAATGCTGTTTTATGTTTAAATAGAAAATAAACTTATCTTCTCATCACTTCCTCTTCTAAACGCCTTGAAATTGGCCTCTGTCTCTTTAAGAACTAACTTCCGCTTCCGTTTTGCCCATTTTGGTCCAGAGGTGTGGGTGTCGTGCTCGCGGTGTGTGTGTGTGTGTGTGT